AGGAGGCTGCTCAGCTGAGAGGCACAGCCCGGCCTCCGGTTCCCGAAGGGCAGGATCGGGACAGCCAGGGGGGCAGTTACTGGAAATCAGCTTTGGGCCCAGCAGGAAGGACAGTCAGTGCGACCAAAGATGGGCTGGGTGTCTCGTGGGCACTGATCCCCCGTCACCAAGAATGTTCTAGGCGTCATCCCTTCTTCGTGACGGAACTGAGAGAAAGAGCAGGCACTTTGGACGGGACAGACCCAGATCCAAACTAGTGAGTGTCTGCGTGACCTCCTGCTGAGTCGCTGTTGCTGACCCTGCGTTTTCTCTCCCGCCCACGGGCCTGCAGACCTCAGGGAGCGCTCATGCTGCGTTGGAAAGCCCTGGCCGCCTCTCAAAGCAGCCTATGAACAGAAGCCGCTCATTGCACTTGCTGGCTCGCCCTGAAACACCCTCTGGCTGTCTTCACCTCCCCGTCCAAGACCCCAAGCCTGTGCCAACCCGAGAGCGCTTGCTGCTGCCCACCCTTGCTGCCCGCCAACCTACGGGAGGCAAGGTGGCAGGAGAGAGGCGCGTCCTCCTGCTGTCTGTTAGGATGCATCCAGCAGCAAGTAACGGAAAAATCCAGCTAACAGTGTCTACACCATGAGGATGGCTACTGCTCACTCAACAAGAAATCGGAGACAGGCGGTCCAGGGATGCCTCAGCGCCTCAACGATGCAGTCAGGGAACTGAGCTCGCTCTTCCCCTCTGCCACCCTCAGGCCGTCTGCAATGGTCACCTGCAGGATCACAGGACGGCTGCCCAAGCCCCCATCCTCACAAACAAGGAAGAACTTATTTTCCTTGCATGTCTCTCTTTTCCTGCAAGGAGGGTCTTTCCCAAAATCCCCAGCCGACTTCCTCTTACATCTTGCATGACCAACTTGTCCCTGTTTGCCTGGTACCTTTTCGATTTGGACCAAAGTTTGCAGGTCCTGGGAACCCCCTTAGTCCCTTGCAATTCTGACTGGTTGGTCTCCCTGCTTACATGCCATTGGCCGGGACAAGGTCATCTGTCCATCCTTTGACCAATCCGTAGCAAAGGGAATGGAAGTATCCCAACTGGTTTAAACCAATCAGGATTCATCTCCTGGGGGATTGGGCATGTTGCCATTTGAACTGCTCTGGACTTCTGTGAGCAAGGAAGGAGGACTGGAGGCAAGGTGGGCACCCCGCAGTGTCTGTCACACTTGCATATATCAGAAATTAGCAGAGTGGGGCTGGCCCAGTGGCGCAGCGGTTAAGTTCGCACATTCGGCTTCAGTGGCAGAGGGTTCGCCAGTTCAGATCGCAGGTGTGGACATGGCACCACTTGGCAAGCCATACTGTGGTAGGCGTCTCACATATAAAGTAGAGAAAGATGGGCACGGATGTTAGCTCAGGGCCAGTCTTCCTCAGCAAAAAGAGGAGGATTGGCAGTAGTTAGCTCAGGGCTAATCTTCCTCAAAAAAAAAAAAAAAAAAAAGGAAATTAGCAGAGTCCTATCCTAGACCAGGCTCGGCTCTCCCCCATTGCCTGCATGTCACCACCAAGCTGTGTGTGTGTCTATGACTAAGTGTGAAAGAATGAGGAGCATGACAAGGATGGTGGGGGAGCGGGAAAGGGTGGAGGATAAAAGCCCCAAATACAGACTTCCTCTGTGGTCCTGGAAACAAGTTCATTATTAATTTGACCTTCAGGTGGCCTAATTAAGGTGCAGTTCTCCAGGCACCATAAGCAAACGGGCAGCTTTCAGGCAACTGTAACAAAGGCCAGAAAACAGCTGGTCTGTCCCTTAAGCTGGCCTATCTTTTGAGTGTCACTGTGGAGAGACTGCGGAGGAGGGGGCATCTGGGCAGAAGGACGGGGGGCTGGGCTGAGTACAGGCTAAGGGGTCAGCCCCAGCCTTGGCTCCTTGGGGACACGGGGGTCGCCCAGCCTCGTCCCTCACCTCCTGCCTCGGCTACACACAGGTCAGAAGTGCTCCGAGTCTGACCTAGGTCTGCCTGACACCAAATCTCAAGATCCGTGCCGTTCCAGCCCCAGGGCCCGTCCCCTTCTCCTAAAACTTTAAAGACACAGACATTGAGAATAAGGCATCTATAAACTTGGAAATGGTGCTCCATTCATTCATTCAGTCAGTCATTCGTTCAAACAAATATTTATTGAGCATTTTCTCCGTGCCGGGCACCGTGCTGTCCCGGGGATCAAGATCCCCACCCTCCAGAAGCTGACACTCTAGAGGTGGCAGACAGACAACAAGCAAGAACTAATACATATATATTGGCATCAGTAATAAGTGTAAAAAAAAATAAAGCCGGAGAAGGGCATAGAGCAAAGGCCGATGCTCTTCCAGATCAGGGGTCTGCAAACTACAGACTACAGCTGCCACCTATTTTGTAAATAAAATTTTATTGGAATACAGCCAAGCTCGTTTACTTACATATCGTCTAAGGCTGCTTTCACGCTACAACGGCAGAGTTGAATAATTACAACAGAGATGATATGACTGGTAAGGCTGAAAATATTTCCTATCTAGCCCTTAAAAAAAAAAAGCTTGCCATGACAACCAGATACCGTTTTGCACCCACTAGAATGGCTGTAATCGAAAAGACAGATAATAACAAGTACCAGGGAGGATGCGGACAAACTGGAAGCCTCGCGCACTGCTAAGGGAAATGTGAAAGGGTGCAGCCACTCTGGGAAACAGTTTGGGAGATCCTCAAAAGGGTAAATACAGAGTTACCCCATGACCCAGCAATTCCGCTCCTAGGTATTACCCAAGAGAAATAGAGCATTTGTCCACCCAAAAACTTGTACAAGAATGTTCATAGCAGCATTATTGACAATAGCCAAAAAGTGGAAACAACCCAAATGTCCATCAAGGGATGATGGATAAATAAAACATAGTCTAGTCATACAGTGAAATATTATCTGGCAATTTAAAAGAAATGGAATAGTGATACATGTTACAATACGAACTGTGAAAACTTTATGCTCAATGAAAGAAGCCAGCCTCAAAGGACCACGTACCGTATGAGTCCATTTGTGTGAACATCCAGAACAGACGATCTATAGCGACGGAAAGGAGATTAGGGGCTGCCTAGGACTACAGAGGCTGGGCTTGATGGCTACAGGGAGCAGGTCTTCTTTTTGGGGTGATGAGAATTGATTGTGGTGATGGTTATACAATTCTGTGAACATCCTAAAAGGCAGTGTATACTTTAAATGAGTGAATTGTATGGAGTATGAATTATATCTCAATAAAGTTGTTTTCAAAAGGTTTACCAAGGGCCGGTCCCGTGGCTGAGTGGTTAAGTTCGTGTGCTGCGCTGGGGTAGCCCAAGGTTTCGTGGGTTCGGATCCTGGGCATGGACATGGCACCGCTCATCAGGCCATGCTGAGGCGGCATGCCACATGCCACAACTAGCAGGACCCACAACTAGAATATATAACTATGTGCTGGGGGGGCTTTGGGGAGAAGAAGAAAAAAAGAAGAAGATTGGCAACAGACGTTAGCTCAGGTGCCAGTCTTAAAAAAAAAAGTTTCCCAACCTTTGTTCTAGTCAGGGAGGGCCTCTGAGGAGGCGGCATTTGAGCTTCTTTTGTAATCGGCTCAAAGCTCTCACGTAGTGTTCACGGATGGCATTGTACTCAGCACTTATGGGCCAGGCTCTGTGCCAAGCATTTTACAATCACTACTTCATTTAATCCTCACAAGGCTCTATGGCTTAGATACTGACAACCTCATTTAATGGTTGAAGAAACTGGAGCACAGAGAGGTTGGGTGACTTGTCCCAGGTCACACAGCTAATAAATGGTAGAACTGGGATTCAATTCTGGGTGTTTCTGACTTCAAAGCCTGTGCCCTTAACCACTGAGCAACACTGTAATTCCCTGTCCAGTCTCTGAATTCTTGATCTTTCCCAAATCAGGACGATGGCCCAAAGGAAGATGGAGGAAACGGGGGAGAGCACAGCCTCAAAGGAAGGTAGGAAAGGGCATAGCAGGGGAGAGGGGAGCAGTGAACGTGCTGGGAGGCGTCTCCAGGCTCGGGGAGGAGCCTCACAGTGTGAGCAAGACACTCAGTGGTCCCCAAACTTTAGAGACATAGAAATCTCCTAGTGCAAGAAGTGGGAGAAAGGCTTAGATAAAACACAGTCTCCTGGACCTCACTGCCAGAGATTCTGATCCGTGGATCTGAGTCGGGGACCAGGAATCCAGCGTCAACAAGCTCCCTAGCAGACTCGAATGCAGATGGCCAGGGACCATACTGCGAGATGTCCAGCAGAAGCTTTAAGGTCAGCACAAGACTTCTCTGGGTACCCCGCCCTTCCTGATAGCCCATATTCCTGGCTCTCATTCTTCTCCCCATGCCCAGAGACTCCGCCGAGCATCACAGGCCTCCCAGGCTCTGTTCCTGCTCTTCCCTCCGACTGGCGTGACCTCCCCTACCTTCCTTTGCTGTGCCCCATCTCCTCCAAGAGGCCTCATCACACCTCCTCTTCCTTGGCCTCTCAGCCCACAAGGGCTCCTCTTTTGGGAGTCGGCTGAAGTGTGGCCTCTTTCTGAAAGCTTCCCTAACCACAGGCAAGTTTCTTTACTGCATCTATAAACTGAGGACGAAGAGCAAATGAGAAACTGTATGTAAGGAGCATTATAGGCACTCAATAAATAGTGGCTGTTGTTTTTATACAATGACATACCTATTATCCCCATTTCACAGGTGAGGAAAGTGAGGCAAAGGATTAAGAAACTTGTCCACGCTCACCCAGCTGGAAATTGGTAGCACTTGGATTCGAACTAAGGCATCAGGTCCTCAGCTTTAATCATCCAATTACACTGACTCTCACTGTGATGAGGCTCCAGGCAGATAACAGACAGCAGTGGCTGGCACCGGGCCTGGCTTGTGGTAAGTGCTCAATAAATGCTGGAGACAACTGAACTGGAAGGTTTCTACATCCAAGGAGAGGGGGAAAAATTACCCGAAGACTGCACTTATCATGATGTCTTATGCTTTTTATTTGACAAGACTTAACATCTTAAGATCTCTGATGAGAATAGGATGTAAAAAAATAATTCAGAAAAAAATTCACAATGGTGTTCCATTCAAAGCTTGGTGGGTCCGAAGCCTGTCAAGCTACCTTGATGTGGGTGACGGTGGGGTTTAACGTCAGAACGTTAAGATGGTGCAGAGATACTGGGGAACGAGGAAGGGTACAGGATGGTCGATCTGGTTCCAACCATCCTGCTTTCCTGCCCAAGCTTCTGAATCTTTCTCCATCACTCCATAACGCTGCACCTTGAATAATGAATCTCTACCCATGAATAACTGGGAGAGAGTCAACCTAAGCAGGACTCAGTGGAAGAAATCCCTGGGTGCTATTTTCCCATCAAGGTGCCACATGGAATGGAGACCCCTCCATCCTGACTCCAAATTCTTTTTCAACTCAGGTCACTAATCTCACCTACCCTCTTTGAGCTCCATACAAAGCTTAGGTAGACCAGAAAGCCCTCCCTTTGAGCCTGGGATCTTTCTACAGAGTCAGACAGCTTTCCGCCTGAATTGCATCAACGGGGAATCCTGTGGGTCATGTTACTTCCAACACGGATGAACTATGAAAAATTATGCTAAGTGGAATTTTCAGTCTTGTCCCCTTTCCCACAGCTGCCCAGCTTTTGGTGGCTCAGAAGTCAAGAAGACAACAGGAAAAAAGAATGCTGAACAATTCTCTAGATGGAACCAAAACTCAAGATATCAGGATTAACCCAAATCTCAGGAAAAATAAAAAGACACCCCCACTCGGGTTACAAGATACAAAAGATAACAAGAATCACCACCAAATAAGACTAGCAGGCTTTCCGGAAATGGACAATTTTCTGAAATGCTTGCCGAAACTCTTCGTTAAACACAGTATAGATTATTGGATTGATGAGGGAGTTTAAATAGCCTAGCCAGGTGAAAAAGTCAAAGAGGGCTGGGTGGATCCAGCAGGAGTCCCGGCAGAGGGGGAGGACCAGAGATGCAACAAAGAAGGGCAGCCAGCAGATGATAAAGGCCCCCAGTATGATCCCCAGGGTCTTAGTGGCTTTCCTTTCTCGAGCAGCGGAAATCCTCTTGCGTTCCAGGACGCTATCAGCAAGCTTGATTTTCACGTGGTTGAAAAAGAGAGGGGAGCCCGAATGAGACTGCCCCTCATGAAAGTTGGGGTTGAGAGAGCAGAGCGAGGACCCGGCAGAACCTGCAATGAGATGGGCTGTGGTGAAGCGCTTCCCGTACAGCGATGGCGGATTCAGGATACGGTTCCGGGCCGCCACGTAGATCCGGCTATAGAGGATGATGAGCAACACGGACGGGATGTAGAAGGCCCCACAGGTGGAGTAGATGGTGTAGGAGATCTGAGAGGTGTTCACCAGGCAGTCTGACATCTCTTCGTGAGCTTTGGCCTGCCGCCAGAAGAGTGGTGGGATGGAGATGCAGATGGAGATGGCCCAGACAATGGCAATCATGGTGGCCGCATGGCCTGCTGTCCGGCGTTTACTGTACTCCAGCGCATCAGTGATGGCCCAATACCTGTCCAGAGCAATGACACAGAGGTGCAGGATGGAGGCTGTGCAGCACGTGACGTCAGAAGACAGCCAGATGTCACATAGGATTTGGCCAAAGCTCCAGGTACCGGTGGTGGTATATGCAATGCTGATGGGCATGACCAAGATGGAAACTAAGAGGTCAGTCGTGGCCAGGGAGCCAATGAGATAGTTGGCTGGGGTATGGAGCTTCCTGGTGAGAAAGATGGTGGTAAGCACAAAGGCGTTGGAAAGGACTGTGGCCAATGTGATAGTGGAAAGGCCCACAGCAAGAGAAATCTTGAGGGCCTGGAGGGTCCCTGGATCCCAAGCCTCTGGGGTTTCCGTCGCATTCAGGGATCTGTTGGAGCCTTCCTGGAGAAGGCCTTCCACTGACTGGTTTGGTGGGGACATTCTAGATGGCTCCCTCTTCCCACAGACTTCCACACACACAGCTCCTTCTTTCACTATCGTCCTGCTCACAGAACAAGGTCATCCTTCTGTTTCACTCGGTGGGGAGCCATCCATCAGAACAGACCACAGAGCAAAGGCCTCAAGACTTGACTATTTACAGAACACTTGAGGTGACTCCCAGCTGGTAGTTAAAAGTCTTTCCTAAACCAGATGAATTCCAAGATGTCTCACTGTTCTGGAACTCTGCCCAGCAAATGGTCAAGCCCCGTAGACACATACCGAATTTGTTAGACATTTATCAGGGTAACAGACCAGTGTAGGCAATGCTCTGGAATTCTTGCTTTTGGCCTTTTGGCTCCCTCCAAAGTTTGAGAGATGAATGTGTTTAATGAGAACTGTAGAATGACCGCCATCCTATTCTGACAAGATTCCGGGTTTCGGGTGACCTCTGGGGAACTTTTAAAACTAGAGACAAAAAGATGTACCAGAGGATTCAGAGAAGCAGTCCAGGCAACGGCTGCCAGTTTCCCAGGTTCATCTTGACACAGCAAGAGGTACTTCACTTTGGTTCCTATCCCACTGACTGTTTGGAGCCTGAACAGACAAAACATTCCGGTTACCAAGCCTCGAAGAATGCGTGAGCTGAGAGAAGGCAAACAAACAGAGCACTGTGGGTTCACCGAGAAGGGCACGTGTTCGGAAGCCCTAGGGTTTAAAGAAGAAGAAAAGTCAAGAGTTAGGTTCTAGAATGACAGTCTGGACACTTGAAATTAACTGTAAGATTGAACGGATGTTGCCTGTGGCTGGCAGAGGTGTAGTGAAACTGGCAAGTGTCTCACAAGTGTCAGGAGGATGCAGAGGAAGGCAGAGTGCCCCACCCCACAGTTCCCAGAGCGGGCAAAGTTTCAGAGCTGTTGGGAGCATCCCAGGCTTTCACAAGTACACGAAATCAGCTCTGTAAATTGTGCATCAGAAATCATCTATGCATTCAGCAAGAATGGAAACGAAACAAAATAACTCTGTGCACAGAAAAAAAAAAAAAGGTCACCACGAAAGATAACCAAATGTTACAAAGAATTTCTCTAGGAATTGGGAATGGGGAGGTGACCTTTCTTCCATTCATATGAATTTTCCCAATTTCCTAAAGTGAGCATGCACGACTCTCGAAATAAAATAAAAAAAGAAAGAAAAAGAAAAACCTCCATTGTTTTGTTACACAAAGAAATTAACTGCAAAAATAAAAGCCCTGAGCACTTTTTTTAAGATTTTATTTTTCCTTTTTCTCCCCAAAGCTCCCCAGTACAAAGTTGTACATATTTTAAGTTGTGGGTCCTTCTAGTTGTGGCATGTGGGATGCCACCTCAGCATGGCCTGATGAGCAGTGCTATGTCCGTGCCCAGGATCCGAACCAGCGAAACCCTGGGCTGCTGAAGCCGAGCATGCAAACTTAACCACTCAGCCATGGGGCCAGCCCCTGAGGACCCATTTTCTTTTCTCCCTCCCATTCCCCAAAATTGTGGGTGCTTCATCTTTCAAAAATACCTGCCAGAAGAGGGGAAACAGCCTCACTTTAAGAACACCAACCTTAAACCACCTGCTCCAAAACTTTCCCAACGTTTGAAGGATATTTTCCCAACATCTTCCATAAAGTTCTTGCTACATTCCAGGCACTGAGTTATTTAGCCCTGGGGCTGAGTCACCCAGCCTGTGAAGTGGGAAGAATGGCCCCAACTTACAAACGAGCCAGCGATGCTCAGACAGGTGATGTCACCTGCCCAAGGTCACCCAGCGAGAAGCGAAAGAACTGGGTCCAGGGCCAGTTTTCTCTCGAAATCTCCCTTCTCCACACTGCTCCAGTCCAGGAAGAAAAGGCTCGAGGCACAAGCGCTCCCAGGAGTGAACCGGTTTGGGATGTCAAGGTGAGAGGCGGTGAGAGGCGGTGAGAGGCGAGAACAATGATCCACCCTGCCCCGCCCTCGCCCCAGGCTGCACCCCAAAAGCCTCTGGCTGAAGTTTTCCTCCCACTTTGGTTCACACGGAAAATGTGAAGTCGGGTTGGACTGTTTGGAATTTTCTTCCTTCCAGACAGTCTGGGTGAGCGAGGTGCCATCATTTCTCACGGAAGGCTGTGTGCTCGCTCCATAAACCCATGCGGTCACTCCTGGGTTCCAGGCATTCCGATGACCTCATTCAGTGAAAGGCGTGGGCTCGGAATGGCCTGAGAGGCTGGTGGGTGATATCTTGGGAGGAAGGACACGGTGGATTGCCTCGGTCAGAAACGCTGGGCTGGAGCTTTGCAGGAAGCTACATGATTCCGAGGCCCGTCTCCCTGTCCTTCCCCATCCTGGACAAAGTTGGGGGAACTTCCCACAATCCAGCTGCCTTTGGAGATACAGACCGCAGCCCCATAAGCAACTACCTCTCTCCCATCACACTTCAAATCAAAATAATAATGAGATATCATTTTCACCCAGCAGAGGGTAAAAAATTCTAAATCTCATCATGTCACATGATCGGGTGAGGGTGTGGAGCAACAGGAATTGTCACCCACCGCTAGTAGAGTACACACTGGAGGAACCTCGTTAGCAAACAATTTGGTATTATCTCATAAAGCTAAAGATGTAATGACTACCTCACGACCCAGTAATTTCCCTTCCAGGGATACACGGCACAGAAACTCTCCTATGTATTCACCAGCAGACAGGAACAAGGACGGCCACTGCAGCAGTGACTGCAACAGCAAACAGCTGGAAACCACCCTCACGCTTGTCAGCACGAGAACGGTAGGACGTGGCCTATGGTGACAATGCAGTGCCACAGGGAAGCAAGACCGAGTAAACCAAGGCCGCGTGCATCCAAGTGGGTGGTTCTCACAAACCCAACACTTAGTGCCGAAGCCAGAAACGTGTGGGAAGAAACAAACTGTTTAGGGACATAAATACAGCGGCAAAGCCATAAGGAAAAGCAAGGAAACGTTAAATATAAAATTCAGGATAGTGGTTACCTTACCCCTGAGGGGAAAGGATGCGGGAATGGAATGGTGGAGGGGTTTTAAAGATATCAGTGATGTTCTATTCTTTAAGGAGGTGGTGGGTATAAGGATATTTATTGTTCTTCTTCAAACCATACGTATGTTATATATATATACATATATATATATTCTTTTGTAGGGAGTGATATATTTGTAATTTTTCCTAAACAATCAATTTCGTACATTATAAAAAAAAAAAGAACCACTCTACCAGCAATAACATTGATACATTTTGATACATTAGTACCTATTGTTATGTTTTAATCCTGAGGATGTGGGTTGTGGTCCCGGCTCTGCCACTGACCAGCGGGGTAACCACGGGCAAGCACAACTTCTCTGTGACCCCCAGTTTCTTTCTTGGTAAAACAGGAACATAAGCATAGCTGTGCTGCCCCAAAGGGGTGTTTAGTAGTTCCAATAAGATCACGTATGTGATGTGCTGTAAATTGAAGAGTCCTGAACAGATGTAAGGATGGTGACAAAGATGGAGGGCAGTGGCTAAAAGCATCCATTTTAAGTCAGGCAGGCTCAGGTCCCAACTCCCGCTGCTCCACTTTCTCGCTATGGCCATTGAGCAAGTCACTTACGCTCTCCCAGCCTGCACAGACTCAGTGATGAAGACGATAATCCATATCTCACAGGAGTTTGAGGAGAACTAGTAAGATCATGGATCCAAATGCCCGACACAGTAACTGATGACTTCTCTGCTTTCTCTATGATGTGTCCCACCAAATTCAGGTCTCCAGGCAACAAGCTCTCTTTTCACACCAGAAACGAGGTGTCACTGTCCATTTTGGTGAGTGATGTCTGCCACTGTCAGAACTACTAGCCATCCAGGAGCTTCTCCCCTGCCCACCACACTCCTGGGAGCCACCACAGCAGTAGCGTCTCCCCTGGAGTCCAGATCACATGGACTCCAGCCAGACCATGCACCCCCAGTTCCAGCATCTCCACAGAGGGGCGGAGGGGAAAAAGCAGGCAGACAAATCTGGGTACCCATCCCAACTTGTGCCATGGACCACCTCTCACCACAGCTGATTGGACCGGGGTGGACATGTGACCCCAAATGAGCCAATCAGATTCTCTCTTGGGAATTTAGAATGGAGACTGTGAGCAGCTAGGCAGATGGACGATGGAGGGGGAGCAACCTGAAAGCTAAGGATCTTGAGGCTGGAGTTGGGTCACAGTCATGACCAAAGCCAGGGTGAGTTTGGGGGGAGCAGAAAAGCCATAAGGAAACAAAGAAAACAGGTCCGCAGAGAGAGGCAGGAGAATGGAGCAGACAGAGAAAGCAGAGAGCGAGGGGAACCACCTGCCTTCCTGTCCTTAGATGTCCACAAGCGACCTCCATCCCCAGGAAACCTCATTTGTACCAACTCATACTTTTCCTAGTTGAGCCGATTCAAATGGACAGAGCAGGCCCGGAGATACAGTAAAAAACAGAGGATTTTCAGTTCCTTCCCACCAAACAATTGTTACCGTGGGACGTAAGGCCATTTCTCCTCCTGGGCTTTCCTTCCTGCTCTGTAAAGCGGGGCAAGAGCACCTTTCTCCTGAACGGCTATGTGGATTAGGTGATGGAGGGATGACAGGCCGGCACAGGGGCTGCCACCCAGCAGGTGTTCTTTTAATCATTCTTTACTAAAACTTCCCACCCAGGGCACATTCCGTTTGCAGGAAGATCAGTCACCTCCCCTTTCTGAAGGATCTTTATTCTGACTAAGTGAGTCATAAAACCTTGCCAGAAACAAAGAAGATGTATGGGTTTAATGCATCCTCAGAAGCCAGGCTCATCCTTTTAGAGGAAAAAAACCCAAGGCTCTGTGATAAAGATTTGCGGCAGGAGAATAAATCCCCCACAGAGGAATTCGTGTCTGTTCTTTCTCTAGAAGCTGTGTGGTACGCTTGAGTGAGCCCTGGATGGGAAATCATTCTCCACAGATCTGAAGAGTGCGTTACATTTTACAAAGTGCCTCCCCAGCTGTTACTTCATCTCGTCCTCTCTACTGCATGGCACCTCCCACAGCCTCGGGTTTCTCCTCTGTAAAACCAGGGTATCAAGTCTATCTCCCAGGGTTTTCATGAGGGCAAAATAAAACATGTGGGGGAGACTGAAAAGTTTTAACATGGAGGTGTGTGTATGTATCTATCTATCCATCCATCCATCTAACTCTAAGTGCAAGTTTTGAAATCTAATCAGTTTCTTTTTTTGTGAGGACTAGCCCTGAGCTAACATCTATTGCCAGTCTTCCTCTTTTTGCTTGAGGAAGATTGTCCCTGAGCTAACATCTGTGCCAATCTTCCTCTATTTTGTATGTGGGACACCACCACAGCATGACCTGTTAAACGATGTGTAGGTCTGCACCCAGGATCCGAACCCACGAACCCCAGGCCGCCAAAGCGGAGCACGTGAACTCAACCACCATGCCACTGGGCCAGCCCCTCTAATCAGTTTCTTGAGCAAGTCAATCTTTCACCTCAGTTTCTCTAATTATAGAATCTGGAAAATGTAGAAAATAAAAAGTAGCCAAACCTCTGACCCAGAACTTCCACTCCCAGTGATACGCCCAACAGAAACATGTACCCATGTCCGCCAAAAGACGTGTGGATAAATTGTTCATAACGGCACTACTTAACAACCCCAAACCGGAAACTACACAAACATCAAGAGTAGAATGGATAGGGGCCAGCTCCGTGGCCGAGTGGTTAAGTGCACACACTCCACTTCGGCGGCCCAGGGTTTCGCCAGTTCGAATCCTGGGCGTGGACATGGCACCGCTTGTCAAGCCACGCTGAGGCGGCGTCCCACATGCCACAACTAGAAGGACCCACAACTAAAAATATACAACTATGTACTGGGGGGCTTTGGGAGAAAAAGGAAAAATAAAATCTTTAAAAAAGAGTAGAATGGATAAAGAAATTGTGGCACATTCATACAGTAGAATATTGTACAACAGTGAGAATGAACCCCAGCTCCCAGCTACACATGACCACACGGACGACTCCCCCAGACACAACTCAGAGCAGAGGAAACTCAACATTATGATGCCACGTGTCATTCAAACTTCATAAAGTTCAAGAACAGGCAAAAGTGACCCCCACTGCCGGCAGTCCTGCTGGTGTGCTGCCCTGGAGGGGAGGATGCAATGACTGGGAAGGAGAACGAGGGACTTCCGGGTGCCGGTCACGTGCTGTTTCTTGAGCTGGGTGTGCTCACTTTGTGAAAATTCATCAGGCTATATCCTTGTGTGTGGGGCACTTTTGTTTTTGTGAAAAGTTTACCCCCAAAAATAGGGTTAAGTGCCTAGGAATCTTAGGTCCCAGTTCTGCTGGTCAAAGGGAGACCTGGGGCTCGTCATTGAACCTCTTGGAGCTCAGTTTCTTCATGTGGAAAATGGGGACGATACAGTACCAATGTCATATGGCTGTTACGTTTGAGAGAGCTGAGCAGCAAGCACTGGCCATACAGGAAATGCTCCATAAATTATAGCGAGTTATAATTAACAGTCTTTCTGTGGCAAACAAGAATTAGAAGGAACTTTTTATTTTTGGCGGAAAAGCAGCCCTGAGCTAACATCTGCCAATCCTCCTCTTTTTGCTGAGGAAGACTGGCCCTGAGCTGACATCCATGCCCATCTTCCTCTACTTTCTATGTGGGATGCCTACCACAGCATGGCTTGATGAGCACCGCCATGTCCACACCCGGGATCCGAACCGGCGATCCCCAGATCGCCTACATGGAACGTGTGCACCTAACCGCTGCACCACTGGGCCGGCCCCTGGAAGGAACTTTTTAAGTGACGTAATCCAGTCTAATCAGCAGAGATGGCTGATGCCCAGAGAGGTGGGTGCCTCGCCCAAGATCACATAACCAAGTTCAGCGTCCCCCCCAGCTCAGCTCAGCGCTCCTACCACCCCAACTGCCCCCACCCTCCTCTATCCAAAGGAGTATATTTCCTTGTCCCTCAATTCGGGGTTCAGTATGGACTAGCCATAGCCAAGAGAATGAGGCACAAGTGACAGGGAGCCAGTTCCAAATTTAGACCTCGAGAGGCTGTGCATGTTTCTGCCTGCGCTCTGCCTTCTCTGTCAGAAGAACACATGTGGGCTAGCCCACTGGGCCTGAGGGGCGAGACGAAGACGCAGGGGGCAGAGCTGCCCCAGCCAAACCCAACCTAGAACAGAGATCCTCGGCGGACTGGCAGGCGCAGGTGTGAGCCCAGCGAGGGTCTGCAGAAACGCCCGGCCAATTTCAGATTGAATCAGCCAGTCTCCAGATGCACAAGCTGTAGTAACAAATGTTGCTGTTTTAACCCACTGAGTCTGGGGGTGGCTTGTTACACA